TCACAGCTCACAGAAACCTCAAACTCTTGGGCTTAAGTGATTCTCTTCCCTCAGCCTCCCAAGTACCTGGGACTACAGGTGCCTGCCACAGTGCCTGGCTATTTTTTTGTTGTTGTTGTTGCAGTTGTTATTGTTGTTTTAGCTGGCCCGGGCTGGGTTTGAACCTGCCAGTCTTGGTGTATGTGGCCAGTGCCCTACTCACTGAGCTATAGGTGCCACCTCCAGAGCTCTTTTCATCTTACAAAACTGAAAGTCTATACTTTCAAACTTTTAAACAGGGGGCCAGTTCACTGTCCCTCAGACCAATGGAGGGCCAGACTGCGGGCACTGGAATGAGTTGGCTGCTAAACAGGACAGGCAGTGGTGGCAAAAACACCCGGCAGGCCAGATAAATGTCCTAGGTGGGCCACATGTGGCCTGCAGGCCATAGTTTAAGGATGCCTGGTCTATACCAATTAAACAGTAACTCCCATTCCTGTCTACCCCATGCACCGGGCAACTGTCCTTCTACTTTTTGTCTCTGAATCTCTAAGTACCTCATAAAAATGGAATCATACAGTATTTGTCTTTTTGTGACTGGCTTAGTTCCCTTACCATAATGTCTTCCAGGTTCATCCATGTTATAGCATGTGTCAGAATTTCCTTCTTTTTTTTTTAAGACTGAATAATTTTCCATTATTTCTAACACATTTTGTGTATCTGTTTATCCCTTGATGGACATTTGGCCTATCTGTCTTTTGGTTATTGTGAATAATGTTGCTAGGAATATGGGTATATAAATATTTCTTTAAGATCTAGCTTCTCATTCTTATGGGCATATAGTCAGAAGTGGGATTGCAGGATCATATGGTAGTTCTGTTTTTAACTTTTTGCGGAACCTCTATTATTTTCTATAGTAGGTACACCATTACATTTTCACCAACAGTGCATAAGAGTATCACATGCTAAGTACCTTTTATAGTTTTCATTTAAGCCCTACAAAAATCCCATGAGGTGAATACTATTACCCTATTCCATAAGATAAAGAAGATGGAGAAACTGAGACCCAGTTTCTTTGTGACACTTAATTTCTAGGGTCACAAAATTGGTAACTATGGGTCAGAGTTGAGCTGAGTGACAATTGTTTTCCACTCTTCCATCCAGTTTCCCAGAAGAGATGATGATGATGTGCCTAATTTCACAAGATTCCTGAAGTGCTGCCGAGTGTATGTCAGTTTTTCCTATGTGATCTTACATTTTCTTGTCCATGTTAGTTTTTAGACTTTCCATCCTTCTGAGATAGTATTTTAAGGACAGTGTCCCAAGAAATCATCTCGGGCACTTGTTAAAAGATACAGCACTCAGAGTGGTAATACCTTCAGATAATTTTATTTATTTATTTTATTTTATTTATTTTT